AAAAAATAGTCAAACCATAGTTGTCTACATCAAATGCATAGCTTTTACTATCCTTAAATAAAACTGGCTGGCGTTTATAAATAGCTGGGCAGAATCTAGCCACCGCTCGGTTTAATAGATATTTCCCTCCCCGGCCCAGCCACAATAGACAAACACTGTCCCTTACCAGAAATACACTGATCGCTAGAAAGGCAATGCGATCGCGGGTGTGGCGAAGACCAACCACGGTGACGGCTACAAGGCTGGGTCTTGAGCGTCAAGCCTGGAGGGCACCCAGGCGGCTCCGCACCCTGCCATCTCGGCTCCGCTCTCCGAAAACCAGAGCTCTGCGTGGGATTGCACACACCACTCTCCTCACAAATTAGGGACACACTGGGTCTGGGTTCCGGGCTAAGGATCCGTCCTGCCATTCTCCCTAACTTGTTTCATTGAAAAGGCAACACACTAACAGCCGAAGTCCCAGAACACTTGGCACCTAGAAGTATCGGGTCCCAAGCATTCCCGTTGCCTACACTCCGCGCCAAAGCAACGATGCCACAGCCCTGAAACCAAACGGCCGCCGTGGAACCTCCTAGGACGGTTACTCCAGAAGTTGGGAAACTACACGCCCCGAGGAAGAGGCTTTTCCAGTCAGCACAGCAGGTGAAGAGGGGCAGATAACGATCCAGGAGTCCTACAAGCCCCCAGCAACTCCAGACCAGCTCTGCCCTCTCTCCCGACACCCGACTGCAGCCCTGGGGACAGACGGAGACTCACCGTGAGGACACAGCGGGGCGGGGGCGGAGAGGTCTGCGGGAAACACCACCTCCACGCCCGAGGCCCCCCTCTGCCCGGCGCTCCCCTCTGCCCCGACGGCTTCACGCGGGTCCTTGGGGGCAGCCATCTTCCCACCGCCGTCCCGACAGCCTCCGTCTGAACCACCGAGCTCCAGTCCGAACCGACGCGCCGCGAGACAGAGCGCCGCGTCGCCCTACAGCGCCCCCGCGCGTCCCGGAGGACCTGAGGGATGCCGGGTCAGGCACCCGCCCCCAACGCTGTCCGCGACCGCGACCGCGCCTGCGCCTGCGCCCCTCGAGGTGGGGCTGGCAGGCCACTCGGTAGGTAGGTCTCACTATCGGGGACGTGTAAAGTTTTTTCTTTCATTAAAGGTCTCGGACACCCCCGGGACAGTGCTACCCTGCCCTGTCGGCTCGCTGAAAGTGGGCATCGACCCG